TGAATAGTTAGAAAGCAGGTATACAAAGATGATCAGAGATGATCTAGTTTTGATAATTTGCCATAACCTTGAATACGACTTGCTAAAAATCTTGCCACTTAGTTTCAATCTTATTGTACCAGCAGCTTTAAGATTTTAAATGTTTTTCGTATCACTATGATACAAATGCAAACGTATTAAAAACACTATATATATTTTCAGATTTTTAATGCTTCTGTGATTGATTACACAATTAGATGACCCATTAAAGAGCTAAGCAATCAGCAATATGCACGCACAAAAATATTCACACCAGACTTTGTTCATTCTAACCCACATTGCTTAATATTCCTCAGGGAAATTGTGGAAAAACTCTTCCAATCACGCTAATAAATACATTTGTTCCAATAAATAACACATGACACATATGTACAAAGATGTACATACAAATACAGTTATGTGGTTTCATCATTGCTAACATAACTGCCTTATCTGCTTGTTTGTTCCCAATTATACCAATGTGCCCGGGAACCAATGTTACTGATCATTAATCGTATAAATAAAACACAAAAATGAAGGCTGTAAATCCAACCACCACATGTTTAAACAAATATTCCACACGCTGAAAATATTTTTAATTTGAATTATCAAATAAAATGTCAAGTATCGCTGGGAATGAATGAATGAAAATTTGAAGGATAAATCTTTAAATACTGTTGATTTCTGTGTAATAAATATTTGAATGTGAGTGTTGAACCTTTGTATTAAGGTTATTTTTGAAATGATTTCTTCTAAATAAACTGAAGATTAACAAACTGAATTTTTAATCATTTTAATAATACATAATATAATTGACATCCTCTAACAATATGAATAAGGAGGAGAAAAAAATGTAATAATCATTATAAGTAAGATATGAATTTTAGCAGGCGAGGAGTAAAAGACAAAATCAGGTTTTATGTTTTTCTTTAATCCAGTTGGTCTAAAATGCATCATTAAACGGATAGTATTTATGATCTGCAATACTGAAAAAAAAAAAATTAAATTAAAATTCTATAGAAATTTGTGCAAAAAAAATATATTTTTTAATTTGGCTTGTTAGTTTTTGAATACTTGTTAGTTCCTGAAACCCTGCGGTTTCACCTATTCTCATTTTCACATAAATTGTTTTGCATCAAGATAAAGATTATACTGCAGAAAATATCAACTGATAGATTTATAATAAACACATAGAAATATATTATTTATAAGGTGGGCCCAATAATCAAGATGTATTTTATATTTATTTGTTTGAATAAATACTAACTGTGCTAATACAAGGAGCCTTCCATCCTTCCTGTTTAGGTCATTAAGTTGGTCCATGTCATCCTTGTTGAGCTGAAAGTCGAAGACATCAAAGTTTTGCTGGATTCTCGATTTATTCACTGATTTTGGAATTACAACATTTCCCCTTTCAATCTAAAAAATTAATATAAATAAGTAAATAAACCGGTATGGTAACTGATGACTGTACTTCAATTTTAAAAAACAACCTGATATCTGATGAGAACTTGCCCTGGTGTTTTCCCATACTTCTCACCAATTTGTTTTAAAAGAGGCTCATTAAGAACAATCAGGTAATTTTCCAAATTCAATGGATTCTGAGGTGATCCAAGTGGAGAGTATGCTGTTAACAATATCCCATGCGAAGTACAGAAATCCTTAAGAGCCTGTTGATTTAAATAAGGATGGCATTCAACCTAGAACGGTTAATGTTTTTAGTAAACTCTGAAAACGAAGATATAGACGGCGGTTTACTTGGTTTGTGACAGGTTTGATTGTGGCAACTTTCAAAACATCTTCGATCTGTCTTTTGTTGAAATTGGATAGTCCGATTGACCTAACTAAGCCTTTATTCACGCATTCCTCCATCGCTTTCCAGGTTTCGGTGTAAGGAGTGTCACTGTACAACAGCTTTTCGTTTTCTTTCGGCATAAGGTCGCCACCCTCTTTGAATCCCATCGGCCAATGGATCAAGTACAAATCGACATAATCCAGGGCTAGATTTTGCAATGATGTCCTTAAAGCACCCTCGACAAGCTCTTTTTTGTGAAAAGTATTCCAGAGCTGGGAAAAGATAAAAAAAAAAATGTTTTACAACAAGAATAGTTGTATTAAAATTAAATGAAAAAATACTTTGGTTGTGACAAAAAGATCTTCTCTCTTGACTTTCCCTTCTTCAAGTTTTGCCCTGAGGCCCTCTCCGACTTCTTTTTCATTTCCATAAATATAAGCACAGTCAAAGTGACGATATCCAATATCTATAGCATCTTTTACAGCTTGAGAAACCACACCAGGTAAGGCCTATTTTCATAAAAATCATCCTTTTTTTATACTACAAAACTTATCAGAGATAAATGATAAAATATTTTTAATTGAACAAATATCATAAATCAAGCATCAAATTAATACCTTAAAAATTATTATACTCAATTTAATGTAAACTTTTGATTATTGTAGCTAGTGTCCCAGTTATTTGTTCTTACTTAACCCTCCCTAACCTTATCCTAACCCTAACCCTAACCTTAACCCATACCTAAATTTAAAAATTAACTTTAGCCCTATTATTATTTTTTTATATTTTTATTCTTATTTTATTTATTTTTAAATTCTACTCTTCCATGTCTATCTGTACCTATCCTAACCTAATTCACCCTTGACCCTTACCTAAACTTACCCGACCCAAACCCTAACTTATACCCAAACTTTCCCATCCCTAACCCTATTTTTTATAATTTGTAATGTTTTTCTTTCTCTTTTTTTTCTTCTTTTTATTGATGGACCCCAGGATTGCAGGAATAGACAAATATTCAAAAACTAACAAGCCAGCTTAAAAAATAAATTTCATTAATAAGTAATTTAATCAGTAAAAATCAATTTCTTTTTGCACTAATTGTAAGTTTAACACAACCACCATCTTCATTTCACATTGTATGCTAAAATAATGTTGTTTTGTGTGTGTGTGTGTGTGTGTGTGTGTGTGTGTGTGTAAAACTGAAAAAGTTAAAAATTTATAATCCAAACCTCCTGCTGAGGACATCGTGAACGAGGTATTAGGTTTCTTCATCCCCAGCGATACTTATGGCATTTAAATATTTTATTTGATTATTCAAATCAAAAATGTGGTCAGTGTCTGCAATATTTGTTTATCCATGAGGTAGTTAAATTTACAGTCTTCAATTTTGAGTTTTATAAAAACAATAACATTAGGGTTCTCAGGCACATTTCAACCTTTATATCTCAGGTACTTTAATACCTCCTGTCAGAGCTTTAATTGGTAAATTATTATATTATTAAATTAATTGTATTATTAAACTTAATTGTTTCTTTTAATTTTATTACAGTACATTTTTAGTTTGTTTCTAATGTATATACTTTGCAAACGGGCCCTTTTGTATTTATGCTGGACACGAGTCTAGACACAGCTCTAATCTGTGATTTTGATATTCAAGGGTACATTAAGACCCAGAATAAAGATTATTGTTCTCTTTTTCTTTCCAAGACGAGAGTGCTTTACATCCAAAATCAAAATTTCTGCGTCTGAACCAAGCAAACCATTGATTGGATGGTGGCTTTCTTCTAAAGCGTCATAATCATACTTATCACAAATTTTCCTAGCAGTCTGAGCAGTTTTTAATTTTCCAGTAACAAAAACCCATAAAATATGGAAAACGCGTTATACTTTTCTCTATTTTTAAATTAGCCAAACACTGTAAAAATATGAGATCTTGAATGACACAAATAAAAACATCTTCTTTTAAGTGTGTAAACAATAAAGAATAAATAATAAGTGCTTCAACACATCAAGGCCAAAGTACAAAGGAGATAAAATCAAATTATTAAAAAAAAAAAAAAATACAATGCAATATTATAGCATATTTTGTGTTTAAATTGAACTAGGAGGCCATCTGAACAATAAAAATGATTAAAATGAAATATTAGTTGAAATAGACTATTAATTACATAATAAAAATTAATTATTGTATTATATCAGTAATCAATAAAGATAATGGAAATATATTATCGCACAATGAAAACAGCACTGCTTCACAACAGACTATACTTCAAATATTTCATTAAAGAAATGTGGACCTGTAATGATTTTTGTTAACATTTAAGGCATAATGCTTGTTCTTCCTGAATTCTTAAGGTGGCTCCAGACATGCGGTATTTGCCGAATGCCGATTGCCACCGAACATTTGCCAAGTGTCGATATGCTCGTCTTGGCATTTGCCAAACAGTCTTGTATACGTACAGCCAGTTTGTGTGGAAACAATGGATATGTATTTACCAATGTACTACCAATCATGTTGGACAACAGTGAAACTATCATGGCTGCAGATGCGGTTACTGTTGTGTATGGCTACAAACTTAGTCACAAATCAGTCAGAGTACTGTTGTCCCAACTTACTTTCGATCTGTTTCCACGCATCAAAAACCTCCTTTTTATATGAAAAAACCTTTTTATATGATTCGGAAAAGAAGCGTTTCAAATTATTCCATCTTGGTACAGATCGAGAAACACCAAGACGGTTATGTTGTGCCAGTCCATTCCTAACAGACAGAAACAACGCTACGATGTTCTTGCATTAATACATCTATGCTAGTTAGGAATTGTTTATTAATAAAATATAAATAGCAGCGTTGATTAATGATTACAGTTGATTCCCGAATGGATGTTTTGAGTTCGGCTACTTCACGAATATTTGTACATTTAGAGGCAGACAAAGAAACCGACGATTGGCGTAGCAAGGTGAGCACCAAATAATGACGTTCGGCGAATCCAGCATGTCTGGAGCCACCCTTACTTTAATTGGATCTGATCCAACCAAAAATGTAATCAATCCATTGCCAAAATAATTGAAAACTGTGACTTAATGTACATAAAGAGTATAAAAATAATGGCTAGTTCCTTGATTTTTTAATTTACTAATTTTTTGTGAAATAGGTAATCGTTAAAATAATTATATGTAATTGCTTACATTCCAAGTGCCAAGGCCAAGAGTTGGGATAGTGAATCCGTTGTTTAATTTCAAACAAGCCGACATGATTTTCGATGTAATGCAACTCAAAAAGTGTGAAGATTCAAGACTTGAAGTGAGATGAGTCGAAAGTTCGAGCCTACCCGGTGACCGGTGTCCAAAATCCAAATATCAGGCTATGACAGTATGACGTGCCACATGTATTATCACTATCGCAATTATGGAGACCGATACTGGTAAGAACGGAGATGGTGCATACATCACAAATATCAATAATTGCTTAGGTCCAATTTTCCATTATTAAGTTTCGATGAAATTCACTGTTGAACGGCGGATTTCGTTCAAATTTCAAATTTGGTTCAATCCTTTGAACGTAACTTGATCATCTGAAAAGTCGACCCTTTTAAAACGAAAGTTCTCATGATTCAATTTTTAGTTGATTAGTGAGAATGCTCCTTGAACATCAACTCTGTTGAACCAAAAGTTCTCACAGCAGATTTCATTCAGTTTTAGTTGAACCGAAGGAACTCTTAACACAGACACTCGGTATTCCTTGGGTCAGGTTTAAACCCGCCATTCCACTTATACTTTAATTTATTATACATTTTATCTAAGGTCTTGGTTGAGATGAAAAAGTCAGTGTCACGAGTGAGATTTGAACCCATGACTTTCAGGCTCAATACACTGCTGCTCTAACCCCTCGAGTTATCACGACTCCACTTTCCAGACAACACATTCTTACCCCAGAGTACTCGATATTCCTTGTGTCAGGTTTAAACCAAACATTCACGCTAATAAATTAATTTCACTCTTCAGACAACCTACTCTCACTTTAGAATACCATGCAGCATGGGTCTGGTCATGAGGAATTTTTTTTGACAATAATTAAACAAAACTTTATTTATTGCACGTTTTCTTGTTCTAACTATTCAAATTACCTCATTACATTGAAAACAAATTTTGTTTATTCCTAATACCCAAAAGTCCCCCCAGTTTGAACATCAGTAGTCTTCCTTTTAGGAATGGTTAATTATTCAACAAGTGACTTCCCATAAGGCAGTTATTATTGTTTAAAATTTTAAGTTTTGTTAGAAAAAAAAGTAATTTTTTGGTAGAAAATAGAAGGGACTACTATTTACATCAATATTTGGCAGACAGAAAGTTCAGCTTTGTCTAATCCTAAGTTCAAGGTTAATTCACATAGACCTGTGAGGATTCACTATTTTTAAATATCAGGACAGAAAATAATTGTACAGATCAGTTATTCTTGGGATTAATTAGATCTTTCAGTTATTTTAGTATTTCAAAACTTTTTATTTGAAAAGGAACTCAAATCACCCACCCTGTCAATGGTTTTTTCTACTTTGGAGACAGTGCTGTGCAGGTCTCTGTGGTTAGTCAGCATCCATTCATGCTAATAATTAATTTCACTCTCCATACAACCTACTCTCACTTTAGAGTACTCAACGCAGCATGGGTCTGGTCATGAGGAATTTTTTTTGCAATAATTAAACAAAACTTTAATATAATAAAATGAATTTATTACACGCTTTCTTGTTCAAGGTCCTAACTAGACAAATTATCTCATTACATTGAAAACATATTTTGTTTATTCCTAATACCCAAAAGTCCTTTTTATTGTATCTTTTATTCACAGACAAAAGTGTTTGACTGAAAATTAATGCATTATCAAATCTTCAAATTACATTAATTGTTTTCAGAAAGGAAAATAATAATATTTCCCATAAAAATCAAAATATGTAATATAAACTTAATTTTTATTTATGTACAATTGCTTTGATCAAATTATCTAGTAGCAAGGTAAAATTAGAAATTTTTAAATCATCATATCCCTAATAATATTATCACATAAATGAAATTCTGAAATAAAATAAAGGTGATTTACTATTACTTTAATAACTTCAACCATAAAAATCAATTGATCTCCTTGGAAGATTACAAAATATCTTCAAGAGCTATTTTTAATTTATCTTTTTCTTGCCACATATTTTAATATGTTAAATCACACTATAAATAATTATTAGAAAACTCATTGTACAGTAACAAGTGTATCATTCCCTTTTTATGAGAGGAAAAAAATTAAAAACACATTTTTGTTTAACTATTTTTATAAGTTAATATTAATCACAACATTAAAAATATATAATTCTCGCGTCCGAAGGATTCTGCTCTAGTGGGCAGTAAGGGCATTTTAATCTGAAATAAGAAAAATCCATGTAGTTCAAATGAAACAAAAAATAATAATAATAATAATTCAGGTAAACTGACTTATTTGCAGCAGCTAATTTATTCAAGGCGTCTCGAGATATGACATGGCCGCAAACAAGTCGCATTGGCGGATTGCTTTCTGTGCTCTGTTGCTTGAGAATGGGACAAGCAAATACAGAGTGAAATCTCCTTTCAGTGCCAACATCAATTTCAATCTAAATAAAATAAAACAAGATAAATATCCACCAACCTATTTGAGCGAATGATATGTAAACATGAAAAAATGTATTTATTAGCATGACAAATAATAAGCTCTATTCTGTACATATATGTATATATGTGCATATTTGTGTGCAGTTGATAAAGGAATTTATCAATATAAATTTAATGTTAGTTATAGTTTGGCATATAACTACAACTTACAGGAAGCTCATCCTTTCCATTCCAAATCCCGCTCACTTGTCGTTGAAGCATCACTTGTTTTATATTCAAAAGTGCTGGGAGTGCAATGCAACCCGCATTTATACTGAAAAGAAAATGTAAATTTCAATAAAATAAATAAATGAAAATACAAATTTACCACATACCAAACACTCAGAGGGCTGTCAACGCTAAGTCCCAGCATTGAGCAGGCATCTTTGGTGAAAGTGTCGTAAATGTCGGCCCAAAGGCTTGGCTGTAATAAATGAGCGTAAGGTGATCTTGAGACTCCATTGGCAAGATAAATAAGCATTCCCATAAGAACTTGTATATCTAAAAAATTATATTTAGAACAAATTTTTAAAAAAATAATTAAGTCTTATCCGGCTTTACCTTTTTCATGTGTGTGAACAAATTTGCTTAAGTAAGTCCTAGCGTATTGAACTGCTTCATTTTGACATGCAGTACCTTTTTCTATTAACCCTATAAACCTGAGCTGGTGTAACTTAAATTCTAACGATGAATTCTGCATGAAAATAAAACTTCATCAATACAAAGAGTTAAGATTGGTAGAACATTTTTTTACTTGTTTCTGAAGGCTTGCTCGATGCTTTTGCGCCCATTCCAGAGCTGGATCCAAATCTTTGTGCTTGAGCCTCTCCAATATGAAGTTGAGTTCTGTAAAAGGCTCTTTCCCTTCCTCTGAGTCGATACCAGCTTCCTTTAAAATTCAGAGAATTTAAGTGCGTACCAACGTAACGTATAAAAAAAGTTTTTCTTGGGTTGAAACACTTACCATGGCCAGTTGGTCTGCGATGTCCAGCATACCCTGGCGGTAAAAGTGTTGACAGATAACTCTGTTGAGGAGAAGCACCTTCTCAGGCCCGGCAAAAACTTCCTCACGACTTGTCGATGCGAAGTCAGAAACAAAATTCTAAAATAATAGTCCACTGGTTAATTCTGACTATAAAATACCTTTCTTTATGAGGTACATTTCAACTACAACAAACTGGAACTCAGGAAACAAACCAGTTAATGACTGATTTTGTCTGGAGCAGAATGAAGCAAACAAAACGTTTTGACTTGGTCGGTTTGATACATCCCCACTTGAATCTAGACAAAACTGTCATCCCGGTTTGCCTCAGGCTGTTTTGACTAATCCAGAGTGTTTTGGGCCTAACAGAAAGTAATTGCTGTCAAACAGGAGGGTTTTTACATCCAACTGTCTGTCGGGTGATCTAAACAAGGAACCAGAACCAACTTTACAATTTTTTTTTTCTTCACACTATTAAGCAATTAACATTTCAAGGGCTCAAAACCAAAACCAATAGCATGGCAAATACGAGGCAGATGCCCTAACCACTAATGCAGATGCTTTTGCGTCCCCTAATAAATATTTGTCAAATGTACATACTCCAAATTCAAAACAGAACAAGTAATTCTTTCTGCCTAACTGATCTTAATTAAAATTTTTATGATTATTTGGAGATACAGTCTGGTGTGGCGTAGGTTTTAGAAAAACTTTTTCTTTATTGTGCCAACATTTCAATCTTTATTGAGATCATCTTCAGGGCTCAAAGTGTTTGTTTTCGGTGTAAATGTGTCATTCTTGTTTGTCGTGTTGAATGAGATGATCTCAATAAAGATCGAAATGTTGGCAGAAGAAAATGTTTTTCTAAAACCTATATCACACCAGATCGCATCTCATCATTGCAGTATGGAGATCGCTAGTGATTTGGGTGAGGGCAGACTGCTTGGAGTAACCTTGGCGGAAACCCGAATGGAGGGGATTAAAAAAATGGGAATATCCTAGGTACCCGGAGACTTGGGCTTGGACTAACCTCTCAAGAGGTTTGGAGAGATTGGATAAGATGGGTCGGTAGTCCTTAGGGGAAGAAGGATAGCAAATTTTGTTGATGGGATGGATGAGGGATTTTTGCCAGGCTGAAGGAAAAACGGAGTTCTGTAGAGAGTAATTGTAAATAAGAAGCAGACAGGGAGGCTGAGTTTAAGGAATTTGTTAGGGATGGCTTTGGCTCCAATGGCCTTGGAATGGGATTTGGCCATTGTCTCAAGGATATCAGCAGGGGATAAATTGGAGAAGTAAAAATTAGATGAACTGTATAAAGGGAGGAGGGGCAATGGGAACAATTAAGGAGTTAGGCGTGGGTAAGAGAGAGTTGATGGAGACAAAATGGGAGTTTAGTTCATCCAGGAAATCCCATTTAGCTATAGCATCAGGAGTAGAGGAGGGGGAATCTTGGTGGTGTAGGGCTTTGGCACGATGAGCAATGGCTTGGGTTTTATTGTGAACAGTACAGGAGGATTGTTCTTTGGTAAGTCGGGTATGACAAAAGCGCTTTCTTGCCGCTTCCCAGCTTTTAATTAGAGCTCCAATTTCGTCATTTGACCACGGGGCTGGAGGACGATGGATAGTGTGGGATTTTAAGGGAGCCTGTTTATCATTCAATACTTGGATGTTAAGAAGCTGACCAAGGAATCGATGGATGAGCCTAGATAAATAGGGGCCCAGTTGATCACCTCCAGATCCAGTTTCAAAACCAAATGGGTAAATAATGGGGTGAATGCCTACTCTGGTTTTTTCACTACTTTAGAGATGGTGCTCAGTTTGAAAATCTGTCGTCTTCCTTTTAGGAATGATTCATCATTCAACAAGTGACTTCCCATAAGGCAGTTATTATTGTTTAAAATTGTAAGTTTTGGTAGAAAATAGAAGGGACTGCTATTTATATCAATATTTGGCAGACAGTTAGAAAGTTCAGTTTTGTCTAATCCTAAGTTCAAGGTTAATTCACGTAGACCTGTGAGGATTCACTATTTTTCGATATCAGGACAGAAAATGATTGTACAGATCAGTTATTCTTGGGATTAATTGGATCTTTCAGTTATTATTTTAGCATTTCAAAACTTTTTATTTGAAAAGGAACTCAAATCACCTACCCTGTCAATGGCTTTTCCTACTTTGGAGACAGTGCTGTGCAGGTCTCTATGGTCAGTGGCCAACCTCTGGACAGTCTCTTTGGCCTTGTTCATCGCCTGTTTTATAATAACGATCTGTGTCTGTGTGAGTACGTGACCAGGCGGGCCTGTGTGACAAATAAAAAAAACATGAATCTTCCGATGCTGGAAGGTCGGTTCGGGTTGGACGTACAGTCGCTGAGGTCCTTTCTCAGCTCGTCGATAGCTGTTGTGATCTCCAGAAGTGTCCTGTTAGCGTGGTCGTTGATGCTGCTGAATTTGGACAGGACTTTGTCCACTTCCCTTTCGACGGCCACGCACGCCTCCATCCCGATGACAGGCGAAGAAATGCGCTGGAGGAAAATTATTTAAAACAAAACAAAAAAAAATCAGGGTCAGGAACAACTGTCAAAACGGGCACCTGCTGTCAACGCGGAGACAGCGGAACGCGAGCGCTACCGACGGTTCTACTGCCCCTTCTGCTGAACTGCTGAATGCTGAGTTGCGTTACGACCACAGCGCCTTTGTTCGACTCTTCTGCTGAACTCGTCGACGAGTGCGTCAAAAAAGGGGAAAACTTTCCAACTAATAAATAAATCTGAACACCTTTCATTTTTAAAAACAAGTAACATCCTATTAGAATGAAAAACCGATCTGTATGACTTCTTTCACTGGTTTGTTTAGTAAAAAAATAAAAACACGCAGTGTCCAGTTAGCAGTCCGACTAATATTCTAATTCTAAATTGTTCTAGATTTATTAGTAGTTTTGCTGTTAGCTTCTGTGATAGTCGTGTGGTGAATTTTTTCAGATGCTCCTGGGCTAATTACTGTAGCACAGAGGCCTTATTTTTAATCAATTGCCTGATGGATCCACGTTTTGGGCAGTTTAGTATGTCACAAAAGGGTTCAAGGGCAATAGGAGTCATCGAGCTTTCCTTGACCAATTGATTGAACCTTTCGTTGCCCCTGGTACCCAGACAAGAGTCATTTTTGTTATTTTCCCTCATGCCTGACATGGTCTTAATGATATTCCAAATGACTCGACTTTAATCCCTGCCCTTAGTGCTGCTTGACTGTCCGAGTAAATTCTATTCTTCTGTACAAAATAACTAGCCTTTTAATCCTTGGCACTACATTCAATAGGCACAGTCTCTACTGAAAGAAATTGGGGTATTGCCCAAGTTTTATGAATCTAGCCCTTGGTTTATTTCCACAAATAACACCTCCTGACCCATACTTGCTTTTAGAGCCATCTGTATGCCAGGTTGATGCATTAACTGATTGATCTGTAATTTGTTATCAAATCTGAATTTAGGAGTCATGATCAACAATTACCTCCAGAACTCTACCTGCCTGAATGTTTAACTTCTCCTTGATATTACACTGTGGAACATAGAAATTTAGTAAATTGATTAATTCTGGAAGCTTATCATAAGTAAATGAATATAAGGTCACCTATTCCGTCACCTTGTATTCAGTGGTTGCAGTTTTGCGGATTCTGTAATAATTTGATAAAGTGTGTCCAAGTATGTTTGAATAATCCTAAACCAGAGAGTGCGAATAAATCATCTGGGGTAGTAGCTCTATCACTCCTCTGAGTCTGGCTCTCTCCAACTGCAGCAGTGAGTTTGCCAGTCTGGTGAGGGTTGTTTTAGCATGAGTTTACTGTGTCTAGTGCCTGTAGAGTTTATCCACTCCTCCTTTTTTTTTTTTGGATCCATTTGGTGATGGAGGATTCTGCATTTGTTTTTGTTATACCAAGTATAGGTTCAGAGCCTATGTATGGTCTTGCAAATCCTCCAATGGCAATGTGTCTGTTTTTTTGTTACCTAAAATTCCTCTGGGCCATGGCAACCAAGATATCATCAAGTTGTGTTTCCCCAATTTTGGAGATTTTGGATGCATACCCTGACCAATTTTGATGAGATTTTTTACTGTGCTAATGCTTTAATAGCTGCTTGGCTATCAGATATTACGAGGATTTTTTTGCCAGTCTTCTTTTAATTAATCAATTTACCAAAAATCTTTTAAGATTTTCTAGGGCACAAGCGTTGATGGCATGTATTTCTGCTTGAAAGGCTGAATTGTACTTCATTAATGAGTTTGATGCTCATATCTTGGGCTTGTACAGAAACCATGCGAACCGGTTCCTTCGTTTGTTTTGGAGCCATCTGTATACCATTTGATGCTGTATATGATGCTTGACTGAGTTCTTCCTCTCCTTTATAGTCTGTTGAGACTGTATAAGATATTTTAAAGAATGCTTCGAGGGATCATTTTTAAGAATGGGTGTCTGATTTTATTAGTTCCTATCCAGTTTGAATGTTTTTGGTGTTTCAGTGGAGGTGGGCTTAGCAGAGCTTTTAGTACACTTGTAGGGGTTGTTCGTGATTCATAGGTTTGCTAAACTATGCTAATGCTGCCTAGTAATTGAGTAGCTACTTTTTTGTTGAGCTTTGGTCCACCAAATTAATGATCCATAGGTTATTTTGAGTCTTATTACTGCCGTGTATAGCCATGGGCCATTTTCGCTTTTAATCCCCAAGATTTGCCAAAAATTCACATGAATCGTATGAATGTAGTTGTGTTTTACCCCTATTTAGCTTTTTTAGTATTTGGCAAATGATGGAAAATTCATAATGAATAAGAAACATATGTGATGTAGTTATGTACAAGACACACGATGACATGGCGACTGAATGAAAGATTTGAATGGGATTCAAGAAAATCGCATCGCTAAAATTAATTAACCTTAATATAACAAAAACTATTTATCCAATCGGTACAATTGATCGTAATCGTTTATTTGTTTGAGGGTAGGCGGGAAGTGAAAAGTGGCAAGTTGGGAGGTGTTTGATGTTTCGCAACCAAGATCTCTCTCGGCCCAACTTGATCGAAGATAGGGCTGGCCCGGTTTGGAGGTTTCTTCGTTCCGTCCGACGCATCCTGCTGACACTGTTGTGGAAGTGGAATTATTCAAGCCTGTTTTCGAATACTGTCGCCATGTCTGATGTCATCGAGGGTTTGCAGGCAGAGAGCAGCGATCTGGCACGACGTCTTAAAGGCCTAACCGACGATCAGGCGAAGGAGGACGCGTTGGTGAAGTACTTCGACCAGTTGGACGTCTTCGGTGTCACTCTCGTCCAGTTCGACTTTCCGTTGGGTACGAAGTTGTAACGCCTTTTTTCTCACCGGTCCAACTTCATTTGGCCTTTTTGCAGACCTAGACTGGATCAACACTACCCGGCCGCTATCCCTGAGAGGCGAACTCAACGGGAAGGTGGTCCTACTAGACTTCTTCACCTACTGCTGCATCAACTGCATGCATGTCCTGCCCAGCCTGAGACTCCTCGAACAAGAGTTTCCCATTTCTGAAGGCTTCATCGTGGTATAGTCATCATTTGTTTATTTGTCACCTGTCTTATTTTTTCTACAAATGTTCAACATTCTTTTTTTTTTAATGGAACCAACTATCAAGTGTGCCTAATTTTAAACATTTATTTAAGTAAAGGTGCAAATAGGGCTTTAAGCCCTTGCACAAATATGTATCTTAGAAATAAATTTAGCTTTATTTTAGTAAAATAATAATAAAACACAATAAAATTGACAAAAAAAGTTGACAATAATAGCTTCTTTAAAATTATTATTTAGAGATTGTGAGATGTGATCTGGTGTGACATAGGTTTAGAGAAACCTGGGATTTATAAAATTGTTTAAATTATTCCATATTTGCTTAGAGGTCATAATTGACCATATTAATTATTACAATTAATTAATCTTTTTGTATAAGGTTTTTGGTTGAGATGGAAAATTAGGTTCATGGGTGGGATTTGAACCCATGACCTTCGGCTCAATATGCCGCTGCTCTAACCGTTTGAGCTATTGTGACTTCGATCCCCTCGGACACCAACTCCCCATCTCAACTTACAACAAAAGTCGCTGAGAATTGAATCACGGCATTTGAAAAATGGCAAGAAGAGGAAACATTCGAATGGTTGTAGGTTGAGATGAGTTGGTATCTGAGTGGATTGAAGTCACAATGGTCCAAGTGATTAGAGCAGCAGCATATTTGAAGCCAAAGGTTGTGGGTTTGAATCTCGTTCGTGACACTAGCTTTTTCATCTCAACCAAAAACCTTAAATAAAAAGAATGTTTAATTGGAATAATTAATACGGTCAATTATGACCTCTAAGCAAATATGGATTAATTTACTAATTAAAAGAATTACTTTACTAACAGTTCCCCTTGGCCACTTCATAAGTTGCTGAGAATCGAATCCTGATTACATGACATTTGAAAAATGGCAAAAAAGCGGGAAAATTCAACAGGTTGTAGGTTGAGATGGGCAGTTGGTATCCGAGTGGATCAAAGTCACCGAAGGTTTCGGTTCGAATCCCACTCATGACACTAATTTTTCATCTCAACCAAAAATCTTAGATAAAAAGATTAATTAATTGGAATTGCTTAAATTATACAAATGAATTTATACATTGATGTACCCAGTACAGAAATATTAGGATTGTAGGTTTAATCAGAGTATTTGTATTAAAAAAGAAGAAAAAGAAAGAAAGGGGGAAGAAAAAAAAAGAAAAAAAAAGAAAAAAGAAAAGCAAATAGTTGTGAAAATCGTCAGGCTCACTGTGTAATTCAGCTATTAAATTGGTATGAGAAAACAAAACCCATTTTAGCAACCATGGTTTAGACCATTTCCTTTTTTGCCTTGAATTTGATCTTTTTTTTTATAATGCAAATCTCAGTTGTCGCAACAATTAGTCAGTCAAAATTGTCCATTTTGGCCACAGAAAATTACAATTTTAGGGTTCATCACTTCACAAATGTGCAAGCCAAACTGAACATGTGAACAACAGCATTTCATTCAGTTCATTTGCACAAACTGACTTGCACAAACCAGTTTGTGCTATCGGCTTGAGTGTGTAAATGGGCCATAAAGGGAGATGGAGGAATATCGAGTACTCTATCACCCTGACTAAATGAATGGTATGTAAATAGGAGTGAATTGAGTAGCTGTTGACACTCCCTCCTCTGGAGCCCAACCTCGGTGGCTGGTCGAATAAGACTGAGGTTTGCCCCCCGGGGTGGGTGATTCTCGAGTCTGAAGTCGAGTAAGTAGCAAAAGCTGGAGATGTGAATTGGCTCAACTCTGCACATGTTTATTTGTATGTATGTATATGTGCGGATTTGAGCCTATATATAAATCCAAATCCAATAGAAAAATGTGAATAATTTTTTTAATGAGGGTATTTCAAAAAGTTATTTGAACCCTCAGGGTGCTGGTGTTTTTGTGATGTGTGCTGGATCCAAACCCACGACCTTTACCTTTCAGTGATGAGCACTGTGCCAACGCCTAAACCATTGTAGCCATTGGCTTTTTTCTGGTTTTCATTAAAACATAATATATTTTCTATATCCATTACATTTCGGGGTCTGATTGACCAAATAACTTTCAATTAATTAATCTTTTTATGTAAGGTATTGGTTGAAATGAGCCGAAGGTCGTGGATTCGAATCCTGCTCGTGACTCTAACTTTTTCATTTCAACCAATATCTTACATAAAAAGATTAATTAATTGAAAGAAAATATTTTCTATAGTTTTATAATTAAACTGTGCATATTTACAAATCTGAAGTGAAACTAACTAATAAAAACACCTTAACTAATTCCTCTTCAGAGTGTGGGAACAGTAATGATTAAATAAATGTTGCTTTAAAATTCAAGAAATAGGAATAATAATAAAATTTTAGTTTACAAAGTTATAAGACCTACGCTCATGCTGCTTTTCACCTGCTCTAAAAATACATACAAAAAATTTTTGCAAAATAAAGTCCTTCATTTGTACACAAAATCACGATATTCTGGAACTGAGCCAGATTAACATACATATTTATTGTCTTAGCCAAATACAAATTCACAGGATGTTTTATAAAATATCGATTGCTAGGGGGCTGAGTGAGAATTCTTAATAACCTTTTATTTTTTATGTTTGTAGGTTGGTGTACATAGTGGGAAATTTACAAATGAAAAGGATGTGCACAACATAGAACATGCCGTTCGACGATATGGATTGCTTCACCCAGTTGTCAACGACCAAGACAACCAGTTCTGGAATATGTTAGGCTGCACTTGCTGGCCTACTCTCTGTTTAATAAGTACAACCATCTTTTAAGACATCCCCTTGAGAGCAATAGTCACTTTCTTTTAATTTTATTCAGGCCCTTTTGGCAGCCCTTTTTTGATACTGATGGGCGAAGGACACTATGAAACTCTGAGATCAGTGATAAAATTTGCCCTAAAATTTTACAAAGGGAACCTGAACGTTGACCCGTTGAGTGAAATAATTGTCCCTCGAAAAAATGTCGGCGGTTGCCTCAGTTTCCCCGGTAAGGTCACCGTCAGCCCTGACGGCTCTTACATTGCCATTGCAGACACGCACAATCACAGGATTCTAATTGTGGGTTCAAAAAACAGTCAGATATTGGTGAGTTTTTGTTTTAACTGTTTAAATCTTTTGATTGATTATTATTACTTTTTTTCAGGATATAATAGGGACAAAAGAGTCAGGTTTTGCTGACGGTTCATACAAAGATGCAAAGTTCTTCGACCCTCAGGGGTTGTGTTGTGGTCCCGACAATGTTTTATATGTTGCCGACACCGAAAATCATGCCATTAGAGTGGTAATTAAACAATATAATTAATAAAATAAATCAAGAGTTTTTTCTTTTGGGGCAGTAAGAGTTACAATTGGATAATCATGTGTTTACAAACTTCATTCTTTACAAAGATCGACCAGAATAAACGGACAGTGGCTACTTTGGTCGGTAATGGCCAGCAAGGGACAAATTACATAGGTGGCCTTGATGGGACTGTCCAAGAAATTTCATCACCGTGGGATGTCCTGCTCCACAATGACATACTTTTCATCGCGATGGCTGGTACACACCAGATTTGGGGCTATGCTTTGCAAGATGTCTACCTATGGGGCCGGTAAATTGACCGATTGTGCAGGAATTAAATATCAGTCTTTTATTCGGATTTCTTTATTAGAAACCTTTCAAAAGGGAAGTGTTATGCCTTGGTCGGAAGCGGGAAGGAGGAGAACAAAAACAACACGAGGCCTTTGCTCGCTGCTCTAGCCCAGCCATCAGGACTCACCGTCTCCAATGAAGGTGTGCTTTACTTTGCCGACAGTGAAAGTTCAGCTGTAAGGCGTGTCAGGCTCAATTACGGCAACGTCGAAGGTGTCGTAGGAGGTCATTTAAATCCCTCTGTAGGTTTTTTAAAAGAAAAAATCTAGCAAAATTTTAATGTAATATTTAATTTTTAAAGAATCTTTTTGCCTTTGGGGACGTTGACGGTGTTGGGAACGCGGCAAAATTGCAACACCCGCTTGATGTAGCCTACTGTTCAAATGATGACAAAGTATACGTAGTTGATTCATATAATCATAAATTGAAGGTAATTAATACCAAAACTAAAACAATTACGACTGTTACTCCGTCTAACTCTGTTCAGGTGAGTCAATCAATAGTTTTTCTCCAATTTTAGTGTTTTTTTCTCTTGTGGTTTGATCAGTTCTGATTGTCCTGCTCTGCCTATTCTCTTGTTTTTCAGTTCAACGAACCTGGAGGTATTGCATGTCATCAAAATCTAATTTATATAGCTGATACCAACAACCATTGTATAAGAATTTTCAACACTGATACTAAATATGTTTCAACTGTGAGTTGTTTTCATCTTACTTACATCTTATGTTAGTTTACATTTATTTATTTGTAGATGGACATTAAAGAAATTAAAGGGAAACAATCTATATCTGGTGGGTTATTCAAAGATCATCTTTATGACTCGCACATTGTAGTGAATCAAAAAGGATCTCTTGAAATCAAGGTTGAACTCACTCTTCCAGAAGGAGTTGGGCTGACTCGCAATGCTCCTTCTAATTGGTCTCTTCTTCTCAATGGTATGCACACATAAAAAACCTTTTTTTTACATTTCACAAAAAAAAAAACAAAAAAAAAAAACAATAAAATAAAAAATATTTCAGATGAAAAGTTATTTGTACAAGATGAGGAATTTTCGCTCACCAAATCCTGGATAGTAAAAGTAAATAAGATGGTGAACTCCAATGCTTTGATTAAGTGTCGTATATTCCTCTGCTCTGACAGTAGGTGCTCTGTCAAAGAACTGAAATTTCGAATTGGTCTTAAGTTTGACGACTCGGCACCCATGTTGGTCAATTACAATATAAGTCATACGGTGGAGTGATTGAAACTTTTATTTTTTAACCTTACATTGTCAGTGATGCACGACAAATTTATATTAATTTTAAAAATATCTAATTAACCAAAGAGGCTTATTTGTACTAGCAATGTTTTAACATTTTTATAAGAACATAATAGATACTTAATTTTTACAAACCTGTTTTTTGTATTTTTCAGCTACTTTTTTTCCAATGTTTTCCTTACTGTTTTAACTCTAGAAAGTCGTTTATCTAATAAATTGTGCAATTTCTTCATGAGGTATAATGGATGAAGCTGTAGTTTGGTTATTCAAACAGGCATGATTCAAAACTACCAAACCACCAGGACCTTGAAAAAGTTCTATCATTTTTTAAATTAATCTTCTTTGTTCGAGCTTCAGTATTTTCATTATTATTATTATATTTTTTTTTAATGTGTCATTTTCTATGATAAACACCAATGTTGATTGTTCTGGCCAAACTGATTCCCCTCTAGGTATTGTGTTGTAAAAAACTATTATAAGTAAATTTTGAAAATTTGTGGTTATCTCTCTTGCATTTTGAAAAAAATGTTTATTTAGTCTTTAGTGTTTTTGTCAGTTTTGTTTGATATCTCATATTGTCAAGGTGTTTTATTTATAATTTAAATGTAGGAGAAAAAATACTGCATTTAATGATTTTTTATTAGTGTGAAAGGACTGCTAGGAAAATTTGTGATTCGTATAGTGACGACTCTCAAGAGAAAGTGCCATCTACAAGTGGTTTGTTCGGTTCAGAAGTGGAAAATTTTTGGTTGGGAGACACAAAGCACTCTGGTCTTCCTAATTTAGGTCTGGTCCCTCGATTATGACCAGATACAAGCTTTTTTCACACATATCCTACACTAATGACACGACATACCTCATACAAGCATTTCGACGACATCTGAGAACAGCTGGATATGTTTGTCAGAGTGATTTTTAAAGAAGAATTTATTGGAATTCATTTCCATCTGCAATTCCCTCAAAACACAATGCAAATGACACATTTTTTTAATAAATTAATAATGTTAATTAGTGAGGATATAATAAACAACATTTACAATAATGATGACAATTAATTGAAAGATATTAATTGGTCAAGCGGAGCAAGAAACTAGTGAATTTACAACAATGTTCAGAGAAGAAAATTCTGGTGGAAATGCAGCAACTGATAACTCCAAAAGATGGGGTGGATTTTTCCACTCACACATTGTTTAATATTAGGACTTAAAGGAATAAAATCAAAGACACTAAACTGATGGTTATTATTGTATATATATTTACAGTATATTTCCATTAATTGTTTTTAAGTAAAGAAATAACACATTTCTTTCCAACTAATTGTTAAAATTTAAAACTATAACCAACACTGAATTGTATTTTATTTATCCTAAAATACAGGTAGGTAGTTATTACTTAAATCCGACAGTTTTGTTTTCCTCTTATATCTATATAGACATTTAAACACATAACTTTCACTTTCTAAGAAGACTGGTTTGATTACAGAGGGAAGACAGCCAACTTACATCTTTTAAGTGGTCAAGGTTTTTTTTTTTTTCTCTTAAACATATTGACATATCATATACATACATTTGCCTCAGTGAAAGTTAATACTGAGCTGAAAGATCAGACATGCACAGAGTCCCTAGGCCATTAGAAACAGCCTTCCAGTTTAAATTAGAACATTTTTGTTGACAATGTTTACGATAATACAATTTTTTTGTTTGTTATGAAGCTGAAGTCATCATTGGCACACATGATAGAAAATTAATTAAAAAAAAAAAAAAATTGGCACGTCTGTACGTGAAAAATAGTCGGTCTAAATTAAATTGGTTAGACTCTTTAAAACAAAAGCCTGTTCAATTTGACACAAATTAAACGTACATCTCACACTGTTCCCAACTTCAATCAACCATCGCCTTTATCACCGATCGCACTTAAAAATACCTGAGATCATAGAACGACCAATTGTTAAGTACAATAATTTAAAATATCCATTGTTTCATAAATAATTTATATAAAACAAAATTTACATTGTTAATAACATTAAATACAGCTTTCTCTTTAAACATCTATTTTCAAAATAATTTTGTTTTTAACAAGGAGAAAAATATATTTCTAACCATGCAAACTTTTAGTCACTTTTATTTTTTCTTAATTGTTTAATTCTTAAATTCTGAAGAGCTATACACATAATAAATTTTTTGGTCTTGTAAGAGTTTATAACTAAATTCTATATACATTGTCAAGAAGAAACACGAAGATTCAGTTTTAGCGCAGCTCAGAAGTCCATATTGTACATAATACAAAGAAAACTGCTAGAGAGCTACAAGACAGCTTTTCCTTTATTTAGTTTAGAACTGGGTTTTTTAATATTTCAAACGACAATTTCTCTTAGCACACCGGGTCAAATTTAGTTTCAAGGTGAGGGTTTCATTTTTCTATATGTTAATTTACCTTCTTATTATTCATAAATCCTAGATAGTGGTCCATATAATATTAAAACGATTATAAGATTTAAAAAAAAAAAATATTTCAAAGATTGAGTNTAATAATATATAATTTTTATAAGGAAAACGAAACGAGTTCCAAATTTTTCTGATTTAAATGGTCGACTGAGAAAGGAAAAACAAGTGTTCCATAGCATAAAAATCTAAAGATCATAATTTATTATGTATGTTTCAGGCATATTGGTCTATTATCAGCAGCATTCATAACACATCGGAACATTTGGTTTTCCTTTCTCCACCAACTATCTAAAAAATAAATAGAATTCATGGTAATTTTTTTCATGGTAATTAAATGGATGAATTTCAACTTTTTGCTTTATTAACCTCAACCTTCAAACTGTGATGTTGAGCTGACTGGGTTATAACAAATTACAAAATCACATGTAAGAATAAGATTCACAGCCTTTCTCCCTGTCACTGCTGCAGTATTCCAAACAAATTGTCAGCCTAAAATTGTTTGAAAAAAAGGTGAAAATGCGTTCTCTTATTATGTTCATTACTGAAAATTAGCACCATAAAAAGTTCAATTTTCATTCTTTAAATTAAGTATTCAGAAATCGTGAGATGCGGTCTGGTGTGATATAGGTTTCAGAAAAACATTTTCTTTATTGTGCCAACGTTTTGATTTTTATTGAGGTCATCTTCAGGGCCTGGGATTTACCAACATTGTTTACATTTAACAAATACATTTAGGATGTGGAAAAGTGAATTTATACAATGCAAAATATATTTTTTTATATTCAGTCAAAGTATTTCTACTCACTCAAAGTGTTTGTCTTCTGTGTAATTGTGCCATTCTTGCGTGTCGTGTTGATGATTGACAATTCTTGTGATGTCTCAACACGACATGCAAGAATGGCACAATTACAAGACAAACACTTTGAGTGAGTAGAAATACTTTGATTGAATATAAAAAAATATATTTTGCATTGTATAAATTCACTTTTCCACATCCTAAATGTATTTGTTAAATGTAAACAATGTTTGTAAATCCCAGGCTCTGAAGATGATCTTAATAAAGATCGAAATGTTGGCATGATAAAGAAAATGTTTTTCTGAAACCTATATCACACCAGACCGCATCTCACAATTTCTGAATAATTATCGATTAACGGTCACTAATCACCACACACTTTAAATTAAGTTTGGCTAGTTAGGAACTATATAAATTAAAAGCACATGTATAACCCAGTAGCGCAGTTACTCTTACTTTAAAAAAGTTGTGTTTTCAAAGATGCACCTATGGTCTTTTTAACCTTAGAACCTAAATTTTTGTAAATACGATTTATTCCAGTTTATAAATTAACTGCTTGACTGTTTGAACTGACTCCCTGTAGACCGGTGTGCTCAGTATCCACGGAAGATCCACAGTCAATTTGAAAACAATACATATACGGTGGACATCGTCCCTTAAAATTATTTACACTTAGATAGAAACGAGAATGCTTATGCCGCGTCGCCCTGGAGAAGGGGGGTGGTCGCTGTGACGGCTTTGTGGTTTGAATTGGCCTGAGACTTAGAAGTCGGAGTCGCAAGGTTACTCTGGAACCTAGGGATAGAGCCTGGAGTGAATGGTGGCTGAGGCGGCGGCTGGATCTGTAGCACCTGTTGCTGTTGTTGCTGAAGACCTGTATCACCAGAAACTACTTTCTTCTCACCAAGAAGCCAATATGTTGTCATCTTACCTTTGCCCTGAATGAAAAATTTATAAATTGAAATGTTTTCCGATAAAAACATTTTTTTTTTAAATTTACCTTCATTTCAACTTCCCCTCTCAAATCAAGTTCAAATGTTCCAAAAGTGTCAAGTACTTCTTTTGTAAATGGTGATACATGAATTTTCAATGCTGTGGAGAATAATTATAATAATTAAATATAGAGGATCTAAATAATTAAAAGAATAATTTGAATAAAAAATTAGTCAAAAATTTTAGTATTTGTTCAGAAATAATTTCTTGGATCAATTTTAAATATTATATTATGTATATTATACATTAATTATGTATAATTAACACTTGTTAAAACTGATAATTACTTCTGGCAAACATCCAACTAGCCATCAGGCAACCAGAAAAGTTTGTGGGGAATCCTTTTTAAAAAGTATTGAACACTGCACTCACTACAACATTCATCGTTTCTGTTAAGTTTGTGTGGGTTTAAAGGGTATAATAATTGTTAAAATTAAACTTAGTTTGTAGATATTTTATTCTTAATGAGTATAATTAAGAATAAAAATTATAAATAATGAGTATAAAATAACTCAAGCCCTGCTATGCCCTTATTATAAAATTTTGAGACCCAGGATTTAAAGAATAAATTCAACTCATTTTCTCTCTGTTGTCGAACTCCTGATTGTGCATATGGCTGTCCATTACTAAGAAATGGTGAAAGCTGGTGGGGCCATGTCTGGAGAGTACAGAGGGTGTGGTAGGACTTCCCAACCATGCTTTATTGTCACCTTTGTGATCCTGGTAAAAATTGTACCTTTTCTGTACTCAAGAGTAGGTGTTCTGGGCCAGGGCAAGAGATACTTGTTACAGTTGGCTTGAGTAGATTAGTGCAGTGATGGTCTGGAGTTTGTAGAGCGCAAGCACAGCGTCTGCTGTACTTCCAAACACAAAGCGTCACCGTTTGTTGGTAATATTTGGTTTTCGTTTCAATGAGACAAAGTCATTTGATGACATTCTTAACATATTTACTTGTAGTCCTGAAAAGGACATGAGGATCTTTTTCATTTGAACCTAGCTCGTGGCATTATCGGACGTTTTGTTTTTCGATGCAGTTCTGCTTATGAGTGGATGTGGATTGATCCCTAAGGACCAAGATAAACTTTCTCCTAACTTGCCCCTTCCGAGGAGCATCGTGCACCCGACTGTGTGCCGCATAGCAAAGGAGGCCAAAGGACTGACATGCCTGTCCGGCATTCCAGCCATGCTCTCCTAGATAGAGAAATCTATCCAGGACGGAGGGGATTGTGCCTCCTAGTGTCAGGACCTCCGGATAACGTTCTGGCCACGGAATTGTTAACCACCCTAGGTTTCATCTGATGTCAGTCAGTGATTCAACCTATTGGTGTTATTACACAGAATCCATTTTTCATCCACGGGACAATCCATTAAAAAAACATCATTACTTTGAGCCATGGAAATGTTTAGACACTGAAGCGTGTTACCGCCGGTCAATTTATAAGGAACTTTGTTGAGCTTTTGCATCTTTCCAAGTCGATATAAGCTAGAGTAAATGTTTCATCATTTACGTTGAACACTCTGGCAAGCTCATGTTTGACTCAAATCAAAATTGATAGCTTCAATCAATTTGTTGTCATTCAAGGCAGAAGGTCTAACAGACCATGATTTATCTTTAAATCCCTTGCTCCCAGAAGCAAACTTTTTGAACCACTTTTTAGAAGTGTGTTCTTTTATGGTTTCATCTCTGAATGCAGTGCAAATTTTACAAGCTGCCTTGGTCGCCCTAGTGCCCAGCTTAAGTTCATACAATTAGCATGCACAATTATGGGTTTTGAAGTTATAAGAAAGGAAATATTTTATAATATACAGTGAATTGTACAAGAAACTTTTTTCTTATGAACTGTCATGTTATCCTCTTGGGATTACATGATGTAAACAAATAAACCTCCTATCTAAATAGAAATGTTGATCATAAAATGATAAAAAATGAAATACCGCATGCAATTTTCTGGCTACCTAGTATTGCTTAGGTTTTCTTTTAAAATCATCAAAGTTTTGATCTTGGAGATCTGGAATCTGAAAACCTATGATGGATACAATGGAGATGTTTTTGGTGCAGTATAAATGAGATTTTAGTTGACAATAAGTCAGAGCGATTATTAAACAAAATGAAAAAAGTTTCTTGCTCATTCTGAGGTTCATGTATACTTGATGATGATTTTATTCTTGACCATACTTCATATTGTCAGTAAATATGACTTAATTGTTACACCGTAGATGTTTGGTTAATTTAACCAGATTTTATTATATTTTTAAAAATTCACCTTCTCCGTTTGATTCCATCCTTGATGCTGTGTTCACTGTATCTCCGAACAGGCAGTACCTAGGCATTTTTAGCCCTACAACACCTGCAACACATGGGCCTGGCAACAGAAAAACAGTATAAGTAACGATGAGAGATGATACAAGTTAATTCAACTGACCCGTATGCATTCCTATTCTTAATTTGAGCTGATCGTTTGGTCTATGACGTATTGTGAAGGACTTGACGGCTGCCAGCAGCGCCAGTGACATTCTTGCAATTTCTCTTGCATGGCACAGTCCGTTCCGCACAGGCAGACCGGAGACGACCATGTATGCATCACCAATGGTTTCCACCTTTGAAAAAGAAATTTTAAAACTCATCCATCTGTTCAAAATGTGAACTTTCAAGACTTACTTTATATACATCAAAGTTTTCTATTATCGAGTCGAAGCAAGTGTAGAGATCGTTAAGAAGCTCGACTACTTGGAGTGGCTGACTTTCCGCACTGAGTGATGTAAAACCGACGATGTCGCTGAAGTAAATGGTAACTGAATCGTATGTTTCTGCGACGACAGACTGACCCAATATGAGCTGGCTTGCGACAGATCTGTTAATAAATAATAATTAAAATATGCTAATTAATAATAGTATTCAATTACATGCAATTAACAATGTATTCATTGGTTCATGGTTTATGGCTTGCTGAAAATTATCATAGAAATAATCCACTATTTTAAGTGATAAAATGTTAGAAAAACTCCTCCATTAACAACCATATCTCATCTTTGAAATGGTCAATGTTTTTCCATCCCATCAATTTTGGTTAAGGCGAGATCACTCCACAATTCAACGTCACAGGGTGGTAGACTTCATTAATCCATCCTTAAGTTGAAGGGCACACTTCATGGGTGCCTTCTTAGAAGTGAGTGAATCGAATGGTACCAGGGCTTGATCTGGAATTGGAACATCTTTCTCCCCCATCCATTATGCCAAAGCGGGGGTTCCGGAAGGCAGTACTTTTTGTCCTTTTCTTTTTTCAGTATACACATAAGCAAAAGATACAGCTATTCTAATAGTGACGCGAAGAGATCTCCGAGATATTCAATCTATTTTGGAAGAATGGCTCAAGAAATGGAGGACCAGACTTAATGAAAGCAAATTTCATAAAATAGCCTTCATCCTTTGAACCTACACATCACTACTAAATTCAACGTTCAACCAAGTGTTCCATTCAAGCTCCCAACTTCGTGTCCAAACTTACTATCCACACAAACCTCTAAAACCCATTTGTCCTCAAAACCACTAGAAGTCGATAATGGACTCTGGAACCTTCATCGCAAACCCCTAACTTTCCAAGACAATCCTTCAAGACGCCTAAAATACTGCTATGGAAGCTCAAGTGCATCCTTCCATCACTCATTTCCCATCTTAAAATCCAATCTATCAGTTACGTACATTAACATACTATGCTAAAGCAGGTGTTCCGCAAGGCAGCATACTTGGTCCTTTCCTCTTTTCAGTATACCCTGCATACTTTTCTTTCAATTCCGATTCTGTATTCGTTATATATGCAGACAATACCATCATTGTTTCAGCAAACCAAGGCTCAATAATGACCTTAAGAAACCTCCAGGTTCATCTCTCCTGTTTGGAACAATTTTACATCTACAAAAGGTTTACCTGGAACCCCCAAACTCGATTAAAAAGAATAGAACTAAACAGACTTGAAATAGACAGACAGAAACTACTCAAAAATTTACTTGACACAAATTGAAATTCTCACTAAAAACAAATGAATCATCACACTAGTACTATGTTGAACTGATACACGGCCACATCATCTACTGCACTAGTACTAACTTCAAAGTTCAACCAAGGGTTACAGCCTTCAAAGAATCCAATCACTCCAGAACAATACTTCGAACCATCCAACTTAACTACTTTGTATCCAAATATTCTATATGTGAAATTGTTGAAACTCACTTGGGAAGGAGTTGATATAGGAGTTCTTCGCATTTCCTCTTCTCTTCCAAATAATCCGCTGTCCTCTCTTCGACGAGGGTCTCTAAGTTGTTGGCATACTGCTCCATGCGAGAGAGCAGGTTGTCGAGGATGTTGTTGCTCTCGTTGTCTCTGGAACAAAAACGTTACCGTGAGCCAATAAAACCAGGATTTATCCGACAGCGGGTCGGCGCATTTATTATTAAACCCTTGAGTGTGTTCAGTAGCCCAAAGAACTCCTTCGTACACGCTTGTCGTTACTTATGCATTCCGGGTCACGTTGGGGGCTTAATCGATTAGAAGCTTTCATTAATAATAAAGGAGATGGGAGGCTGCGTTATATCACTCGTTAGCGGCAAGTTTGACGGGTTCGTCAACCTCCTCATTTCTAGAGATTGCTCAAGGCGGAAGGGAGGACGGAGGACGACGACCTCGTTAATGTATAAGAAGAATATGAGATATCGTCTTGGAGATTCTCCTTCTAGACCACTCCCCCTTTCCTAAAAGAACTGGGTCATCCTCGTTCAACATATCGATGAAATTGAGATTCAACAAAATTTAAACATTTTCCCCTCGATAAAAAGTATTGTGAATCATCATTCGAATGAACTTTAATTTTGTACAATATGTAATATTTAAACCTCCATAATAATTAAATAAAAAAGTAAATTAATGATAATGTTCAAGATAAATTTAAAGTAAAAACTTCGCCTAGCATCCGTTAATAAAATTGGGTTTTTATAAGTGCATTCACCCCTGTTTTTTTTGTGCCAAATGTAGCGAGAAGTGTATTTTTATTTCCACCCCCATCCTGTTGATTATTGTTGTTTGTCCGTTGCAAAAATGAAGAAACCGCCGGTTGATGAATCGTGCTGGACAAACCATCGACCTGGAAACCAGATCGACCTGGACAAGATATCTAAGTATTTTAGTGACACTTTCTGCTGGAGACAGCGTTCTTTATTCCAATTTTATTGACGACCTCACAGATCGTTTTGCGATTGTGTTACTTGGGAGTGAACTTTCTTTAAATAAAGTTAAAACCAAAATATAAAGATAATATTGAACATATATCAAATAAAAAATAATTGGAACTGACTTAAACATAATTCATGATAACCTTAAGACTTATAATTGGTTCTTTGAACCCGGTTGTAATGCTACCAGAAAGTTAAAACATTGATAAATCCATTAAACCGTGAAAACATTCGTTTTTCATACCTGAATACTTACAACAATATTTATAAATTTTAAAATATGATAGCAATGTTTTTTAATGTAACCAAATAATAAAGGAGTGAAAAAAGCTTCGTTACTAGGGGAGATAATTATCAAGACATTATTGAATTACCAGACAAAATCTTTGTTTTTTATTCAATGTTCACAGCCCGAGCAAATAATCGAAAAATTAAATTTTCATACTAATAACTAATTCGGTTTTAACAAAAAACTAGACAAATTGATACGGGGCAAAAATGACAAGTTACGGCGCTAAGAGCAACACTTCGGCAATACCGGTATGTATTGAGGGTTTAGCCGAATCAATGTGTATTTTTAAAAGAAAGAAGGTTAAAAAATTTCGTCAACGTCCTCAATTGTATCTTCTTTAGTACAACTTACATCGCCGGCTTAAATATAATTCATAATAACAATCTTAAGAGGCTTAAATGTCTAATTGGTTCTTGGAACTAGTTTGTAATGTTACCAGAAAGTTAAAACATTTAATAACTCCTAGTGTAGAAATGTGTAGTATTTAGTAACCGTTAATTAATGATTTTTTGGAGATCGTGAGATGCGATCTTGGGTGATGTAGGTTTAGAAAAACATTTTCTTTATTGTGCCAACGTTTCAATCTTTATTTAGATTATTCAGCGCTTGGGATTTACAAACATTGTTATACAAATACGTCTAAGAGGTAAAAATGAATTTATACAATGATGTACGCAATATAGAAATTTTAGGTTTATTCAAAGTATTTGTACTCACTCAAAGTGTATGTTTTCTGTGCAGATGTGTCACGGTTGTGTGTCGTATTGCGAGTGTTAGTAAGATATAAATGTTTTTTTGTTTATACATGTTTGACTTTGAAAGTGTGGGTAAGGAAATAGGGATAGAAATTTTTCTATGAGGAGTCGGCTTCTTTGAAGTGAAAGCAAGTAATGGTTTGTCGTTCGGGCTTAGTTATCTTTTCGGGATTATTATAGAACAGAATTATTGGGGAAAGAAATAATAAATTGTTGGGGATTTAGACTATGTAGAAATTGTTTGATGTGTGGGGTGTAATGATTGTTTTATGTGTTGTATAATGTTGTATAATATATTTTAGTTATTATTGATATCGAATTTGATTTATGTTATTAGCGTAGCTGTTATTACCCTGAGCCATGTATCTTTTCACCACAAGAAGATAAAGATATACAAAGATATCCTCCATAACAATCACTACCCTAAACACATAATCAACAGAATAATCAACAATTACAACTCAACACTAACACAATCTACTATTACTAATAACACTCATAATACAATTCTACAACACAATAACAATTAATTCTATTAAACTCAGACAAACCAACTGCTGGTGCCCCCGAAATCGATATCGTTATAATTAAAGGACATTTTGAAATGGTTGTAAGTTCCTGAAAAAACACCTAAAAACGATCTTAAAATAAGCGGACAACCAAGAAGAAATAAGAGAAGAATAAAAATCAGTGATACAAATTGTACGGCAACTTACATCGGAATTACATCACAATATCTGGATAAGAGGGTAAAACAACATATCTATGATTGTAAAAAACCTTAGCAAAATTCTACAGCACTGGCTACCCACCATTGTGAACACCAACACAATTTTGAATTCAACAATCTAAAATTATTAAACATAGATCAAAACAAACATAAAGGTAACTTTTTAGAAATGGTTTACACCAACAGAGATAAATACAGAATCAATTACAGAACAGTAAACTCAGCCGCAGCTACGCTAAACCATAAATCAAATTCGATATCAATAACAAACAATATACACTGACAGGGAAAAATTCCACCCGATTGATTTTTATCATTTTTGCGATAAAAGAAAATTCTGCCCTTAATATGTCTCATTATTTTTACAAATAAATATTTTTCAATGATATATTTTACGTTGGGAATATCAACTAGAGGTAAACACACTTAATCCTTATTCCAAAACAAGGATTAAGAATTTTTCAATGTTTACGTTTTACGGAATTTAAAATGTGTTGTATTTTGCGACCATTAGTTAATGATTATTTAGAGATCGTGAGATGTGGTCTGGTGTGACGTAGGTTTTAGAAAAATTTTGTTTTAGAAAGTTTTAGAAACATGAATTTCTACCCCTATTTCCTTACCCACACCTTCAAAATCAAACATATATAAACAAAAAACATTTATATCTTACTAACACTCGCAACCCGACACGCAACCGTGACACATCTGCACAATAAACACTTTGAGTGAGAACAAATACTTTGAATAAACCTAAAATTTCTATATTGCGTACATCATTGTATAAATTCATTTTCACATCTTAGACGTATTTGTATAACAATGTTTGTAAATCCCAGAATTAAACGTAAATGTAAAAGATTGAAACGTTGGCACATTAAAGAAAATGTTTTTTCAAACCTACATCACACAAGACTGCATCTCACTATCTCCAAACCATCATTAATAACTCTATTAAATATAGTGAAAACATCCTTTTTCACACTTGAACACTTATAACAACATTTATAAATTTTAAAAGATGAGAGCAATGATGTTTTTGATATAATCGAATAATGAAGGACTGATTGAAAGCTTTGTTACTAGGAGCGGTAATTAAAGAGAATCTTCTTTTTTTCTGAAATGTTCACAGCCCGCCGAATCGAAAGATTAAATTTTCCTACTAATAAGTAATTGGGTTTTGACAAAAAATTAAACGAATTGTCACAGGGGCAAAAGATGAAAAGTTACGGCGCTAAGAGCAACACTTCCGCAATACCCCTAGGTATTGAGGGTTTAGCCTAATTAACGTGTATTTCTTTTGTAGTACAACTCATCCAAATATAGGTGTTTTGTTCTATTAAACAATCACCGGATAGAATATGAATTTTGGATAAATNCTACACTATATATATATATATATTACGAGGGTTCGCAACAGCAGAGGTTATATCAACTCTCAGGGTGTTTTTGAAAAAAAGCCCATTTGTAAGTATGTTGGGTTCGAATGCAGGGCCGCTGGATTCGAACCCGGGACCTTTACCTTATAGTGATGAGCGCCCTGTCAACGCCTAAACCGTTGCGGCCACCGACTCCTCCGATTTTTATTGTTGTTTTTTTATTTTGTTGGCCGTGGATGGGCGGGTTCACCCTTACAATTCACGTCGAGAAACATGTTTGTAACTCCTTCAATCTGATGATAATGCTCGAAATGTGCATCATAAGAAAAGATCTGTTCATAAACCATCGTTTACAAAAAGTGTACCTATAGATGTTTTAAAAGCTGGGAGAAATGAAGAACCCTGAGATCTTTGGAGAAGAAAGCATGCAGGACGCTTTATTTTTCAAATAACCAAGAAGTCTTCATTACTGATAAACATCGCCGATGTCCATTTTATGTTGAAAGAAGAAAAATGTCCATATGTTATTTGCAAATTTTATCTCTATATCTCTAATCTTCGGATAGAACGGTGCGGTGCGGTGAATCTAAAGTTTAAAGGTTAAAGGGAGTCGACCTCTTTTCGATTTTCGCACCGTGGTCCATTGTGCATCTCCATTATTATCTAGAGCTCCTCACTATGCTTAAGGCTGTTTACCAGATCCCGAAGTTCAGGTCCGGGATTTTCCTCTCTCAGGAGTAAGGAATTTTAACCTGCATAAGCTTTCGCACCAACATTAGACATGTTCTGTGGCCTTCTTCCCGGCAATAACTGAAGTGGCTTGTTTCTGATGCTCAAGTCTATACATATATCACCGGAGTGTAAATTGGCCAAGGAAAGTTCGATGAAAACACTTATTCGTTCTGAACCATTTTACGACATAGCATTCTGCGATCTTTGGAAATAAACCTAAGACTTCTTACAAGTCTTTCAGAAGGAGACCGGGAATTACCAATGAAA